GTCTGTAGGAGGAAGTCTACCTCGCATAAAACTCAGAAAATTTTGTTAGTAGCACCTGCAAACTCAGAAGTCTACCTCCTTCCACAGTGAAAGCAGATCAGCTTCCCCGTAGCGCAACGTCCTGCATGCTTCTTTCCGCACCCCGAACACCTAGGAGTGGAAGGAGGCCTAGCAAAACCTCTCTTGTACGAAGAAGTCCTCTTGAACTGGTCAGGCGCCTACCTAACCGCATACTGCTTCCCTTTGCCCTTTCCAGCAAACTTCTTGTCTTTCCAGGAAGTGGAACCACCAGTTCCCTTCGTCTCAGCAATCTTGGCCCTCTTGGCCTTACTCGTAAAACAGACATCCTCAATGTCCCGACACTGCTGCACCAGCGACCTAAAATCTCTCAAAGCCGCTCCAGCAAGAGGAACCGATATCTCCTCGCTAAGTCCCCTACGAAACTTAGCAGCCAAAAAGGTCAGAGTAGGCATAGCCATCCGAAAGTGTGAAAACTTCACCAGCTCGTTAAACTTGGCCAGGTACTCGTCAACAGACAACGAGCCCTGCACCAACCTATTGAACTCCCCCTGCTTCCTCTCCTGTGCATCATAAGGGAAGTACCGACCCAGAAAGCAATCCTCGAAGATGGCCATGTCATAACATGACCCTGCATCTCAAAAGCGTGAGAGGTGTTCATCCATCACTCATGAGCATCGTCCTCCAGCATATACGTCGCAAACATCAGCTTCTGTGGATCTGTACACTGCATGACCCGGAAGATCTTGTCCAATGCCTGAAGCCATCTCTCCGCCGCAATAAGATCATAAGACCCATCAAAGGAAAGTGGCTTATGCTTGCGAAAAGCATTAAGCCGACGGTCTAACACATCGCAATCCTCAGCAGGCTCCACATAGGGTTCCATCACCCCAGTAGTATGACCAGTGCCCTCAACATGGCTCTGGCTCTCATCCTGTAGACTAGGTGGAGGTGGAGGTGGTGGTGGCGGTGGAGGTGGTGGCGGAGGGAACTGGACAACAGCAGGACCAGCCCTCATCTCCTCCAACATGACCCTCATCATAGTCATGTTCGCCAGGTGGTTCGCCTCCAATACATCCTTAGTGGCTTTCCTGTTCGCCTCTCTGACGGCGTCCAGCATAGCCTGGTTTTCCATTCTCATGGCCTCCTGGTCGGCTAGTCAAGCCGTCTGCATATCAGCCAATGCAGCCAGGACAAGATCAGGTTGATCCCTGCTAGTGTCTCGGTTCTTCCGAGGTTGCACCATGACTCTGCACAAGTTACACAAAGAATGAGTTGATCAGGCACACGCAATATGGTCACATATGCATCATTATAGCAAAACCCAATAGAGAGAATACACAGACAAGACTCACAGCAACATCCTACGTTATTGCAATACATACAGGCTTTTTCCCTAGAAAGTGCTCTGATACCATAAAATGTAACACCCCGTGTATACCCGGTTTGTTAACATGTCATCGTATTAAGCCACGCTTAATTAAAATTGCGGAAAATCTTTTTCTTTTCAATTATGACGTCATTAAAATTAGCCAAGTTGATTACTTAATCAATTTCATTAAACATCGCATGTATGTAAATTGCAAAAGACAGCTAACTGAAATACCTCATAAATAAATAAGTGAGTATCTAAGTCACGGATCTACAACACGTAGTCCGGACAATATCCTGATACAATTATACAACTCGAATAAACTGAAAACATAAAGTCAAGTCAATGTGGCATGGACAATCCTCATGCTCACCAATAACAACATAATCAAAGAGTCTCAGCTCAAAAATCCATAACATGAAACTAATAGCATTACAGCAACAAATATCATCCAGCATCCAAACATAAACAGCATAAGCAGGAATATCAGCTAAGCTCCGGCCTCCTTTCGCTAGAGGTCTCAACCCCAGGGTTTCCTGAACCTTAAATAAGCGCCCCAAACGTGGGGTGAGATCTCTAAACAGAAATCTCAGTAAGACAAGGGATCCTCAAGGATCTTCCACCCCAAGCTCACTTACATGTGCAATATAATTTCAAAAATAGTTTAACAGAATAAGTTCCAAAATAGTGCAATGCAGCAGATAATCATGTCATGTGTGTTATAACTAATCTACTGGCCAGAGAAATGCAGGAATATGTCTATTACCCACATTAGTGCAAGACGCCACTTGCACCCACCCACAGTGTCACCGTCTTATATAACGCCACATACTCAGGCTTACCGTCTAAGTGGAATAACACATACATATTAAAAGCCATTGCACATACAACTCAAAAGCAGTTTCAATTATCATAGCATGTAAACACATCATACATATAAACCATTCCCCCATGGGGTATGGTGGAACCACACAATGGCTAAACCGAGGACACGAAAGCTTACCTTGCAAGCTAACTATCCAAGCCAAGAGTCTACACAAGCTCAAGGCCCTCAAACAGCACAATCACGATATGTTATACAGTAAATAATCATCAATAACCATTCACCAAGGTTACATTAAGTGATTAAGGCTTTCCATCTTATTTTAAGTCATTTTATGCTATTTCTGCAAGAGGTATTCAAATACTACCCGATGAGTATTCAAATACTCCTTGTCTCCAGAAAATATCTGAATACTTTCACTTAAGTATTCGTATACCACAAGGTATCCGAATACTTTTCCCCTCAGTATCTGAATACCACAGTATCTGAATACTAGAATCCACTGTATTCGAATACTTTCCAGTATTCGAATACTTCTTCAAAGGTATCCGAATACTTTTCTTCCCAGAAAAGTATCCCCAAAAAGGAGTATTCGGTTACCAGAGGACAAGTATTCGAATACTACACGAAAAGTATTTGAATACTTCTCCAACAGAATGCAGAAATTCAAACAGACTTCTGCATAATCCCACTTTTAAGGGTCCAAACGTGATTTGGAGTCCAATGACTCCATAAGCAGATATTCAACAACATCTTAAGAACTCAGAAACACATTCTTTTACTCAAATGGTTAAAGTTTCTCTTTTTAATCGATTAAACAAGCTTAAAACATCAAAATGACAAAGAGGTGATCATGAATACCTCTAAGGCTCCAAAACTCCGAAAATGAGGCACAAAAAGGGTCCTCTACACAGCACCACAATACTGACTTTACCAAAGAACGAAAATGCCTAATAAGCTTGGACCTTTCATCATAAAAATGGTTCCTTGAAGCTCAAAAATGACAAGAACAAAGCTCCACTCAACCAACTCAGAAAACAGCCTCCTAGACCTCCATACTCAGAAGGTAAAACTCAAAAAAGTAGTGTTTCCCTCACTCACAATGCAAGCTCACACCAAGATATGGTGTTTAGGTGAAGAAACAAGGTAGAAAGATGAGTTCTTTAGGGATTTCTATGGAGGAAAGCTCAAGTCTTGAGAGGAGAAGGGGTGGCAGCAGCTAGACAACAATTCTCACGTAGGAATTGGCTGGTATCAGCCTAGGGCATTGTGCCACTAGCTTATATAGGCCCACTTAAGTTAAAACACAATATTAACAATAATAGCTACGCTTAGTATTTTAATCTCAAACTTTGTATTCTGAACCTACTCATTTTTCCAAGATTTATCATATTTTTATTTTATTTTTCGCAACACCTTTCTGGTACGCGCTTTTCCATAGCCAGTATCAGTTCTGGCACCAGTTCTCATTATTTTAACTTGAAACTTGAAATCACAGTTCTACATATTATTCTAAGAATATTTATGCACTTATTATAATTTTTCGGGATACTTCATTGGTACGCATTTATACCGAGTAGCAGAACCGGTATCTGCACTTTTCGTCGTCAGAAAAGCGACTTTCAGCATTATTAAACACTTACCATAATTATATAAGCCTTCTCATAATTAATAGGGTCAATTATAGAATTATTTCTTAATTTCTCACAATTAATTAATTAACTTCCTTAATTAACGGTGCGGGTTCTTACAATTACCGTCTAGGTGGAACACCCCACATACATAACATATGGCAAATGCACAATATCATAATCTAGCTCAAAACCATATCCAATACTTATAACGTAACAGATATAATTCCATAATCCAGCTCAACAGCAGATCCAATACTCATAACATAAACATATATAATTTTCAGAAAACATACCATGCACATAAACCAATCCCTCATGGGGTTTGGTAGAACAAGCAACAGATAAAACCGAGGACCAAAAGCTTACCTGTATCGGTAAAGTCCTCTAATACCAACTCAGTATCACATGGTCACCAACAACCAAACAATCCAGCGAGTCACAATCTGGTTTAATGGCAAATACATCATCAATAATGATATCTTACAATTTCATGTCAAATTGAACATGTTTTCTTTTTCGTTTAGCGTATTGCCGGCTTCTCCCAAAGCCCCCAACCACAAACAGTCTTTACCATTTTTAAAACTGCAGTTGCAACTCTTTACCAAATACTCTAAGATTTTAATATTGTAAACTAGACATCTCAAGCTTTCCAAAAACATATTTTATGTCTCAATCGGAGTTTTATAACTCCGGTTATGATTAACTTCTTTACGGAATCTAAATTTCGTCAAAACATTTCCCTCAAAATATTTCACAAAAAAACATATTCATCGAAATTTTTGACGAAAAATATTTTCAACAAAAAAATTTGACGGAAAAAAATTTCATCAATTTTTTTTTTTATTTTTGTGAAAAATACATAAATAATTTAGTTAGAAATTTTAAATTTAATTTAATTTATAAAATATAATGATTATATTAATTTTAAAAATGAAGTAGAATGATAAAGATATCTCATTAACCCTTTATTTTTCTCCGTTACTATTTTTTTAACTTCCAAACAAGGGAAATGAATACCCTTCAATTTCCTTTCCTTCCTTCCCCTCCCTTTCCCTCAAATCTCTTTCCTTCCCTTTCCCTCGAAACTCCTAAAGAAAGCCTAAGCGTTTGATACCGTAATCAAAGGGATACTGTCTTAAAAAAGCAAACGGGAAAGTTATTTCTCTAATTGATACTTGAGTTCGCGACAAACTGGCATTGACTACCAAAAAAATAAAAAAACCATCCAAAATACATTAACACCTCAACAATACCCATGATACAAAATAAAAACACCAGCCTAAACGACAACCCCGAAAATTATAGAATCTTATTTTCTGTTTCTCAAAGAATTGTATATTGAACTCTTCTATTACATTCCAAAACATAATTGGCAGGTATCTGTAGCAAACTAAAGATTCTCTTAAATACAAACATAACATTTTAGAGGATTCGGTCCTGAAGATCTGTCATCAAGGTGGAGGCCAATGAGCTGAGCTTCTTCCCTGTTTCTCCAGCAATGTTCTTAAGTGAAGAGATATCCTGCTGTGCCTGCAAAACAGGGAAGGGAGGGAGATTGTGCAGCACCCCATCCAAAAACATCAATACAGGAACCAATACCATGAATTTAGTTATTTTTCATTTTACCGTTTGTATGACGTAGGACATAAACAATTAAGTTTCTAAATCCTATAAAATTGTAAAGAGCACCTGGAAAGATAATCGATTGAGGAGGTCGCTAGCAGTAACATCAATGGAGGAGTTATCTCTCGAGTCACCAAAAAGATCAGCACTGGAGATGGCAGTTGAACCCTGGTAATAACAAGAGGAGATAAACCGCCAAGTATCAACTTTAAAGTACCCTTGGTATATTAAAATGGCCACATGATCGAGCGTTCCCTCCTCTCAGAATTATAAAGTAACACTTAAATCACAGAAGGAACCACACAAAGTGTGCAAAATGGTTATATCGTGTCATTTTCATCATTTCACATTAGCATGGATAGAGAGAAGTTTGTCATGTCCTAGTTAAACATTTAACAAGATTTTTCTGGTTGCTCAGAATAACCATAGGAAAAAACATTTTACATAGATTCAACTCTTTTGCTTCCCAAAATCAGTTTATGAAAATAAAAACTTATCTTTTCTCTTGTACATCCCACCATGTGCTTGTTTAGAACCTTATATTTTTAGCTTCTCTTCTCTTTATAAATAAAAGCTAGACCAAACAGGTTTTGATATAATGAAAAAAAAAGCCACTCGAGCAGAGCTTTTTTTTAAGCTCTCGTCAGCTTTTTAAATGAACCCACACTAAGATCCAGCAAGTTAGTAAAAGAAAGGACACGTACTGAAAACTTGGACAAAGTAACTTGAGCATCCGCATTTGCAGCTTTGTTCTGATCTCCAAAAAATTGAGATGAAGAAATAGATTTGGCATTTGAGAACTTTTTTCTTGCTTCATCAGATTCCTGTATCTTATAACAGACACATAGCAAAACCAAATAAGGAGCAAAGCAGTCCATCAACAACAAAAAAAGGAGCAAAGGCATAGAAAAAAACATCATAAGGTGCAAGCTAAAATGAATTTATTTAAAAATAAAATAAAATCAGTAAGTACATGTTTTACATATGATTGGCCACAAATGTTGAAGTCAGAAGGTGAGATAATAATAAACGAATGTTGACATGTTACAGGAGTTACACACCACGTAAATATAGTTTTCCCAAAAAAAAAAAAAGGCAGTATTTAAGATTTGGTAACATTAATACTAATTTGTCCGATGATAATATGATGAAACCCAGAATATTCAACAGCACAGATAACAATAATTAAACAATAAAATACTTCCATTCTATAACCAGAGCGCAGTACATACACTACTAGACATTAAAAATAACAATTACAATACAGAACAACACGATTTATGAAAGGACTCAAAGATAAAGTGCATAAAAGATAAACCAAGACCTCACTCACTCTCAAAGACCCTAAAGAGATCCTTTCCCAAAACCCCACTCCAAATTCACTGAATACGTGCATACCTCACTACACACACTCACCTTTTATCCTACTCACAGAATATTCTATAATAACTAACTAACCCACTAACTTTTAGGCCCATCAATACTCCCCCTCAAAATTCATCTTGTCCTCAAGGTGAAAAAAGAGGACATATAACGTTAGAGACTTTCCACCTGGCTGCCTCAATTCCTCACCCTTTAACTTCAACCGATTGCTGGAAATGAGATCCACAATACTATTAATTCCCTCCTAAACCTTCCACCGAGTTATGTTGACCTTAGACCAAGATGTAGGAGTTTTTGAAAACGTCTCAATTCTGGCATAGGCAGGTGGTAATGTATCTTCCACCAATTCATCCTCAAGTGTATTAATAAAAGAATAAAATACTTTTTGGGTCCTCAACAAAAATCATGAAGCTCATTTTAATCCCTTAAAATAAATTGACTTGTGATCACTCTGAAATTCAAAATAGACTAAGTTAGTCGAAATCATGGTTCCTCTGAAATTCAAAAAAGAACCACATTAGTCTCTCAAAAGGACTAACATGGGTCTACTTTGAATTTCAAAGGGACCACAAGTTGATTTTTTTTTTTTTCCAAGGGATTAAATTGGGTCTCGTGATTTTTGTTAAGGACTCAAAAGGTATTTTACTCTAAATAAAATACTTCTAATCGCACAAATCCTTGAAGTCACTCTCATCAGCCCAATGGAAGCTGTGATCGGGAGAAGGCAGACAACGTGTTGCCTTCATTACCTTAGCAACAACAACCATATCACATATCTCAAATCTCATCTGATTCAGGCCGCCATTAGCATTTGCAAGAATGTACCATTCCCCAATATTTCTAGCTTTTTACGATTTATTGGCAGATCTATGCATATGCATTGGATGAAGTTATCACTGTTAGGTTGAGACCAGATTCCTGATCCTTCCACCATGGCAGTTTGGCAGCCAACTGCTCCTGTTGCTACCATCTTTAGAGTTTGTTCGACATCACATGCTCCCTCCCTATCTATTATGTTAGCGAATGGGCCCCAGTTCTCTAACCTGGAAAAATGTGCATCGCACCTAAAATAGTGATTTTGTCGCCGGCAACCCACCATCTCCTCCGATGACAGCCGCCTGAAGCTCGCACCACGCTCATCACTGTCTACAACGTTACCTACGAAAGTGCCTTGTGTAGACCCCTGCCCCTCACCTCCTCTAGTCGAACCCTGCTTTTGTGTAGGGTTTAGTTCCTTGGACCATAAGTGAGGCCCAACTTCTTTGTTCTTCCTTACTGAATTGGAAGGGTTTAGTTCATTGGCCATAAGTGAGGCCCAACGCCTTTGTTTTTCCTTGCTGAATTGGACCCATGTGTAATATCATTAAGCCCAAATCGCCTTTTTGATTCAGAACCCCCATGTAGTTCCCCTCCTTTGGGGTTAGTACGGGTCATAAGTCCGTGTTTGATGGTTCAATCCAGGTCCAGGATTATGAGATAACATTGTGTCCCTCTCCTCAAATCGTTGCGCCACTGTCTTCATGCGTTCCAAATCCGTCAATGGGTACAAACAGATTCCAACTCCAATTTCTTCCGTCGAGCCACAGTGAACAACATCTAGCCTCATCTCCTCCTAGGTGTGTTTATCTTCTGCTCCTTCTACATCGTCCATTTCTGTATCTTCTTCATCCTCTTCTTCGTCTTCAACTTTTGCGTCTTCCGCTTCTTCCCCTTCAGCCTCTTCAACTTCTGCTTCTGTCACTTTTTCTTTTTCTTCTCCTTCTTTGATTTCTTCTTTTGCTTCTTCTTCGATCTGCTTTTCAACTTCATTGTTTTTCCTTTCTTCTTCTTTCTCTTTTTCTTTACTTTTTTCTGCTTCTCTGTTTTTTCTTTTCTTTTCTGCAGCAACACCATCATCCACTTCTTATTGGGTTTTCTTATCTACTTCTTCTTCATCTTCTGCGTGACCATCTTCTTTTTTCTTCTTCTTCATCCAAGGCATTTGACGTCTCCGATTCTGCATCATCTACCAAGTAAATTTCAGGTAAATATTTCTCTATGAATGCCTTCTCAAAGTTCCTCCAACTTGCATTACAATTGAACCATATCCAACCTTGATATCAATCGAATACACTCCCTCTGAGCCCTCTCATAGGTTCCATGAACTTCTAATCTTCATTGATTCCTTCTATCTGGAAAAATTGGTCCAAACAGATTAGCCATCCCCAATCTTCATTATCTCCTTCGTCTCCGTAGAATTTTGGAACCATCGTAAATCTATATTCCATATTTTTTTTGTTTTTTTAGATATGGACTAGAAGCACCCCTAGATCAGAAGTGCTTTGATACCAATTGATGAAACGCAGAATATTCAACAGCACTAATAACAACAATTAAACAGTAAAATACTTTCATTCTATAATCAGAGCACAGTACAGACACTACTAGACATTAACAATAACAAAATTACAATACAAAACAACACGATGACAGTGATGAAAGGACTCAAAGATAAAGTGCATAAAAGATAAACCAAGACGTCACTCACTCTCCAAGACCAACATACCCAAGCCCCAAAGAGATCCCAAGAAAATTTCACTGAATACATAAAAGACCAACATTCCCATAACCCCACTCCAAATTCACTGAATACATGCATAGCTCACTACACACACACACTCACCTTTTATCCTACTCGCAGAATATTATAGAATAACTAACTAACTGATCCACTAAATTTTAGGCCCATCATAATCAAAACATCTTTCAGCACGTGAATGCTTATTTACTGTTAGAGTTATATAAAACCATTAATGTAACCTCACTCAATAGCTAAAGCTTTTGTGTTGAATTGGTTCTTTATATGGTATCAGAACCTCGGTATCACGGGTTCGATCCTCACCGCCCTCATTCTAATAATTAAATATTGTGGAGTTTCTTAGCACAGATACGCTGGGCCTGATGCTTCATCCACCCGTCAAGCCCAATGGGCTCTCGTGTGAAGGGGCGTGATAGAGTTATATAAAACTATTAATGTCTCGTGTGAAGATCGAACTTGTGACACCGAGGCTCTGATACCATATAAAGAACCAATTCAACCCAAAAATTTAAGCTGTTGAGTGAGGTTATATTAATGATTTATATTTTTCTAACATATACCCTCAAACGAGAGCCCATTGGACTTGAAGAGTGAATGATACATCAGACTCAGCCTACTTATGCTAAGAAATTCCACAAGACTTAATTATTAACTAAATGGGGGCCGTGAGAATTGAACCCCAGACACCAAGGCTCTGATTACATGTTAAGCTTTTGGATTGAATTGGTTCTTTATATGGTATCAGAACCGATTGTCTCGGGTTCGATCCCCACCACCCCCCATTTAGTTAATAATTAATTAAGTCTTGTGGAGTTTCTTAGCACAGGTAGGCTGGGTATGATGAACCATCCACCCTTCAAGCCCAATGGGCTCTAATGTGATGAGGGTGTTAGAGATATATAAATCATTGATGGATCTTGATAGGAATTAACCCCTCCTATCAACTAAAGAGGGAGAAATTTTGTATATTAATGAAGAATTAAAACGATTACAAGAAATTATGGCAAAAGAAAGATAAAAAGCCAGAGCTCCTAGCTATGGAGATCACTCCACTAGCCTCTCTACACCAGTAGAAAATAACAAAAATAATACCTATCCTCCCCTCACGCTGTGCATCCAATATAAACATCCAAAAGTAATAACAAACTATAACAAACTACACCTCCCACTCTCTCACCATAACTGTCAATACAATTCTGATAAAACCAATTCATTACACGTCACACATTTTCCCTTCCCTTATTCCTATTCCTCCTTTGGTAAACCAAGGTTGGTCCAGTCCTTCTCCCCTACTTGGACTGCACATCTTCACCTACACATGGGGCCTGTTGAAGATGGGCCTGTTGTGGCATTCGTAGCATTCCTCCTATCAGGTCTTCACTTAACAGTTTAAGCTTTTGAGCCATTCTAATAATTAAATATTGTGGAGGCCTAATGCATCATCCACCCATCAAGCCCAATGCGTGTTAGAATTATATAAAATCATTAATGTAACCTCAATCAACAGCTTAAGCTCTTCGGTTGAATTGGTTCTTTATAGGGAAGATGAAATAAAGTTAAAATTTAGGGAAGTCCATGAAGTTTAAAACATACTTGACATGCTTATTTGTTCAAGTAATTAACATGGAATGTATTTTTAATCCATGATTCTAGATGTATGCTGGCGATTTATTCTTATTTTTATAAAACACTTGCATGCGAGCATTTTCTCTTAAAAGTTATAATACACTCTATTAGGAGACCTCTTGCTCTCTGAACTCTACTATGCTCCATGGATCTGAATTTTGTTAAAAACTTGAATTGGATGGATTATAAATATCAAAAAAAAAAAATTGGATACAAACGAGTAACGAAAAAGAAAAACTGCAAGAGACATAAATATCAAAATTTGGGAAGAATCATATATAACAGCATTCTGTATGCAACCACATGCAGTAGAAGTTACCCTATGCAAGGGCAAAAGTCGCAGGCATATGACTTACTTGCACTTTTGAGGAGCTTGACCCAGATTTCTTTGGAAAGCCATTATCCATTCCAAAGTCCGCAAAGAAGCTTGATGACTTTGGTGGAGCCACATGATTAAGTATATGTGAACCTCCAGAATTCGACTCAGATGATTGGACATTTTCTACATACTCAAACCGGGATGTCAAAGATGGCCCAACAGGCAAATTGTTCTTTGTTGAGGATGAAACTGGAGCAGGTGGTTCTTCAGGCTTCTGCTCATAGAGAGACTCACCTGACTGTATTTGATAAGGATAATTTGTCAACGATTCATATCATCAATTTAAAATAGATAATAAGATAACGATAAACCAACAGGCACTTCCAGTACACATTGTGCAAACAAAGATAACTATTTGCATACCTTACTAGTGAGCTTACGCGCACCAAGCCCCAGACTCTTCCCAGTTTTTTTAGCACCAATAGGCTTCTTCATCGTACTTGAAACTACTGTATATGAAGCTCTAGGTGAAGAAGTGCTCTCAGGCTTTTCTGGCTTCTCCAGTGTGTTTTCTTTTGTTACTTCATTGGTCCTGACTTCAGGAAGTCCAATAGCTCCTTGGGCAGACTGGGGAGTGAAAGGTGATGATGGCAAGCTTGCCTCTTCAGCCATACTTTTAGCTACTTCCTTTGAAAGAATTTGCCTGTACAACTCAGCAGCTCTGGATGTATACTTTGCCTCTGTTTTACCACCATCTGACCAACCATGTTGCTTGAAGAAAACTTGTGCACGATTGTTTCCTCCAAAGCTCATCATTCTTAATTGCTCGGGACTCCATGAGTCTAAGTTCGTAGATCTACATATATAAGAGCAGATAATTATTTAGAAATCCATCTTTTCAGCATTTTTGGTTCTATTCTACTACTTCCTCACTTTTGATTGAAATGTGCTTCACAGAAAAACTAAGTGAAAAACAAAGATGCAAAAGCACAGGGTGAGAAATTTTAATTTAGTCATAACACTGCTAAGAACTTCAAATTAGTCATGGAATGCACAATAATGTAAAAAGTGAGTAAATTACACTAACCGCCCTCACACTTGTCGAATCTACACAAACAGCCTCATTAGATTAAGAAATTATGCTTACCTACCCTGAAATATATTTTATCAGACAAATGCCTCCTGCTCAAATATTTTCAAGACATATAACCCTGAAAAACCAACTAAAATGTTGGTTTGCAGGAGAGATAAATGAAGTTTTCTCTTAAAAATCCTCTTTCACCCATTAGAAAAGCAAAACTGGTTTTTGGTGGTTCCACATTTGCTTCATATATTTTCAATTAAGTATGTATTTAGTTGATTCACTCTAAATCCCTATGCCACATGGAAACATAAGGAACAAAACAAAATAAGGACTTTATATCATCAATCATCCTTCCAATCCCATCGAACCACAGGTTCTACTCTTGATTCAGAAATGTAAAGCAAACAAAATAATAAGTCATCATAAACAAAAATCATACTTGCACATGTATTATCCTCACAAGCCCCTCATACACTATCATGCAAACCATTGGATAACACCTCAATCCCACTGTAATGTTTTATGAATGATCCAGACGAATCCACTTTGGAACAAGTGACAATAAAGTCTGTGCAAGTTTTGTTTCTTGACTTGAAAAGCTATCTTCAATGTGAAGTCACATGCCATGAATATCAAATTGAGTAACACCCCCCCCCCCCCCCCCCCAAACAAAAAAAAACAACAAAATAAAAAAGGGAAATGATATGTCCAAATGAAATATAAATCCCATATCATATACCGTGTTATCCTGATTCCCATTAAAAACCCCGTATTCCAACCTGCTGCAAAGTGTATAACTCAAGCCCACCCCCTCTTCAAAATTAAAGCAGCACTTAAATGCCCACCAGCATTTATTTATTCTATACTGCTTCACAAGCACAGTATCATTTTCCCCTTTTAAAATTATAAATTAGATGCCAAACTCCTATGCCCGATTTCATTGACCATTCATGCTTTAACCAATAACCATTTGATTCGGGGAAATTTCTAAAAGATGAGACAGCACAATACAACGCACTATTCAAAATCCACCACATTAAATCCTCACCACCGCACCACAAGGCACTCCCAAAACAGTATCAGGTACACAAGCATATTACAAACCGATACAAACACTTTCCGCATAGAAAATCAACAACAAAATCCACCATACAAACAAAATAAGCCAACAACTTGCCTCACAAAGCTGATGTGCACGCCAAGACTACGATGAACGGCGGAGCAATCGATGCAGAGGAAGATCCCATACGTAACCGAAGCCCAAGTTGGGTTCTTAGCATTGCAATCGAAACACATCTGAAACCAAAAATAAAATAAAAAATAAAACACCACACAAATTCAAAAATCAAGCGCACGCGCAAGGATAAAGCAGATCTGAAACCTGATCTCGTAAATCCGATAACACAAACGAAATTTCAAGTTATATTAAAAAAAAAACCATAGAATCAGAGACGCACTTGAATTCAATTTCAAGTGAGAAATTATAAAGGAAGAACCTTATTTTCGGACTTCGCCTTGAGTTTCCTGAACAGAGTGTTCTTGTCGGTGAAGCCTTCGGAAGCCATTGGAGAACGATAAAGATCAAAACGGAAAAGGAAAACGAAAAGGATGCGGAAACAGAAAAGAAAAGGAAAATGGAATTGAAATTTCTCTTTTTTTTACTTTTTTAAAAATAAATCTCAGGCGGTGCTTGGTGGAACAGGAACACCTCCTGAGCAATATAGATTAATGGGACGAAAATTTGCAGGTGGAATTTGAGTTTTTTTTTTTTTTTCGTTTTCCTTCTTCTTGTGTTTCGTTTTCCTTTGTCTTTAAAAAGGTGCTCTATGTTAGCGAAAGAAAAGAAGTGTAAAATGACGAAATTGCCCTGCAAAGAAATGTGGTATGGCGTTGTGCCGTTGTTGGCCTTTGGGTTTTCCGGAGTAGGTGAATAGTTGCTGTCCCTGACCAAGATAGGACAATAAACGTTCTGAATTGACCTAAACGTCGTCGTCGACTGTCACTGAAATTCTTGTATATAAAATGAATTCTTAGATCTTACTTCTTGGACTCTTTAGTCTTACACGAGTCTTTAAACACAGAGCCAAACTTGGGGGGCTTTTTTTTTTTTTTTTGGTATCAACTTGTGGGGCTTTTCTCATTAAAAGAACAGGAGATATCTTGGCTTTTTTTTCTCTTTGAAACTTATAAAATAGATCTCATTGACATTCGTAGGTGGTTTCTCTCAAAAATCTCCACTTTGGGATCAAGTAGAAAAATATTACCAACGTGGGGAGCTAAACGGCGCATCGCGTGCAATTTTTTCGTTGTTTTTTAGATAAAAATAAATGAACTAATCAAATTGTGCTGTATGGCATAAATTGGTGTCGTCATTTCTCACTCCTTCATTTATAAATACATCTCCCCCAACTCAATCATAGACTCAACTCTCATTTCTAGGAGTATATCACTTCATGTGTTATTTAACTTGATTAAAGGGATTCTAAACATTCATTATGATTTTGTTACTCCTTATCCCGACATTTGATCTCTCATCAATGTTAATTATCTATAAATGATTATAATTCTTTGATATGACACGGTTATATTATTCTATTGTTTTCAAACTTCTTTTCAATTACTTAAATTATGGTTCTATTAATTAGTAATTATTATTAATTTTTAATAATTAGTTACTATTACTAATATAATAGTTTGGGTCAAGATCATTTTATAAATTACACTTTCAATTTTGATTGTCGATCTTATTTATATCTAACTGTTCTGATTTATTAGATATTTGAGACATTAGATCCAAGTAAATTATAATAACCTTAACATGTGAAATGAATAATTAGATATTATTCTATGATGAAAATGGTGTAATTGGATTTAAAGTCTAATTTTGAGATTTTAGACACTTTTGAGAAAAAGTGTGAATAGTTAAATTTTTAGGATAAAAATGCAATAGTACAAAATTACTTGAAAACTTAGAAATGGAACAATGAGAGTTTATTTAAGAATGTTTGTGAATGTTAGAAAGATTATCACAACATGAATTTGTAAAGTATTTAAGTGAAGGGCAAAATGATAATTGTCTTTGTGAAAACTTTGACCAAAGTCAAAGCTACCCTTAAGTGATTTCTTTGGTCCTTAAACCATTGTCTTCTTCATTTTTCGACCCCTCAAAACCGAGACTCCATTTCTTAATGAGCTAGCGAACCAACTTGAGATTAAGCCACCTAATCCACTAAGTTTGTTCATCAAAGTTGTTTGTCTACTCCTTATGAGTAAATCCCACCAAAGAAAGCTAGGTAAAAGTCATTGAATTGAGAGATCTTTGCCTCTAAAAGTGGCAAGTTTGGTGATGATTCAATGGTTATGAGAGTTGTTTTGGCTGGCTTAGAAGGATGATAAACATGTCTAAGATCATCTTGAGTTAATTTATGGTAAGAAACTCTAATTCTATTAAAGTTTGGTGATGACTGGAATGTTGAGTTTTTCATGAAAATGTGTGAGAGGTGTTGGTATTTGGACCATGATTTGGGCTTAATGTATATTGGAAAGATTGTTAGTGAGGTAAAATAATCAGTGAAAAAGTGTTCAAACTAACATTTCGGTCACTTTCAGTTTTGCCCAAAAAATACACACGAAAAAAGTATGGATTTTCATGTATTTTGGGACTTGCATTGTCAAGCTATATGTTGATGATTGGATTGTTTTGTTATGTAACTTGAAGCAAGATGATTGCTTGACAGAAAAGCAAACGATTGTCTAAGTGTTGGTGAAGATCTTTGATTCTTGTTAGATCAAGAATTAGGTAAGTCTTTGGACTTCTGAATAAGTATATTGTTGTTGATTTGATAGCCATTATGATGATGGTTATTACGGAATACATGTTATTGACTATGTGCATGACTTTTCTATAGGTAACTTTGTGTAAAAAGTGTTAATTGTTGGCTTACTTGTGGGACAAGAAAGCTAGGTATAATAACCCCATCACTAAGATGTGTTAAATAAAGGTTAAAGTGACATAGTGTGAGAATTAAGTGACTGTTAAGAGAATTTTGACAGTTAAATCATGAAATTATCATGACAATAAATATGAGGATACAATTCATTTCTAACAAGTCAATTATGACCTAAATAAGAGTACAAGTTATGTAGAGAAACATAGATGTCAATTTAATGACAAGGGTATTTTGGTAATTTGACAAAATTAGGCCTGAACTGAATTCTATCAGTCTATTTAAATTGTCTAATAAAAATTAGGTACTTACAGTATATTTAATTTAATTAGATGAGGTGTAGAATAATATTTAATTAGATGAGGTGTAGTTAAATTGTCTAATAATATTAATTGATTTGATTATGCGATCTTGAAGAATACCATCACAGATCTCCTAGCATTGATGTGCCTCTGGCATATGTGATTTTTCAAGCTAAAAATGATAAGGATTAAGTCATAAAAGAGCATTTTTTGTACATATTTGCTTTATATATTGACTTTTCCATTTCAGTGTTATTTCTCACTTATTTGTTATTTTTATATAGGAAAAAGAAGGAAAATACGAAATTTTGAGAAAAAAAGATTGCCACGCGAGTCCACGCGGATGGTGGTGCGATCCTGCGCCAATGGTTCTTCTGCCATTTTCTAGAGTGTTGGCGCGATTCTGCGCCGTGATGGCGCGATTTCGCGCCAGTTCGCTAATTGTTCTGCAGCCATTTTTCAGAAAGTTGGCGCGATTCTGCGCCAGTTTGCAAAAAGATATGACTGCGTGTTTTGAAGGGTAATTTTGGAATTATGCGCGAAAAAGAATATAAAAGGATGCTGGATAGACAGAAAAAAGATCGATCATCAGAGACGGTGGTGCTTCGGAGAGAGTTCTTGAGAGAAAATCTTGTTCATCTTTTGTTCTTCCATTTTCTAGTCCAGTTTATGTTGGATTTTTGTATGTTAGCCATGACCATGGTTGGCTAATACTCTTTATTGTAGTTATGGTCACAAACCCTATGTGAACCCCTGTTACGACGGATTGATTTATATTTACTCTTTTATATATTTATATTTATCTCTACTCTGTGTGTAATGTCTATCCTCTTTATTAGAACTGATCAATCTGATAGTAGATGATAGTTTGAGGGTTGGAGTTCTATATAGGAATATTGTGATTTTGATCTTGAAAGAGAGTAGGATAACAATTTGTATGTGTGCTAGGAATAAACGTATATATTATTGCAGAGTTTAATTTATCGTACTTATTGTTTAATTCCATGAGGAACATTGCAAGGAATTGGGGTTCCAATTGGGGTTAAAGGGTTAATCTTGCAAGGAATTGAGGGTTAGCTATTTAATATTTTTAGATCATAAATTATCTGAATATTTATCTATATGAGTATTTTAAATCAATCCAGAGGAAAAGGCAGGGATCATATGGTGAGTGCACTCTAGCTACAATATTTTCTTATATTTTATAAAATCCATATCTGTTATATTTTCATAATAGAAATCCAAAAATACGTCTTTACCTTTAGTTTTTATTTTTATTGAAATCCACAATATTTTTCCACAACTATTTGAATTTCTTCCATCTTAAAAGGAACAATTATTTGATATTCGATCACAATCCCTGTGGAAACGATACTCTTCTTATCACTGTATTACTTGTTCGATTGGTATACTTGCCAACACGTATCAAGTTTTTTACGCCGTTGTTGGGGATTGGCGTTTCGTATATTATATAATCTTGATCTTTAAGATTGGATTTTGTGAATATTTGTATTTCTATTTTATTTTTATTTGAAAAGTGCTACTAACCTTCTTCTTGAGTTTTATGCGAGGCAGAACTAAAGAATTTCTATTTGATTCTGAGATTGCAAAGACTAAAAGGAGAAATAGAAAACTTGCTCTGAAGAAGCTTAAATTCAAAGAGTTTGGTACTCTATCTGAAGAGATACAAGAGATACCAGTTGAATCACAAATCATGGCAGCAAATAATGATGCAAAAAATCCATTCATGGATACTGTACTTAATCCATCTTTTAACAGGCCTAACTCAAGCATTGTCCAGCCTGAAATTGATAACAATAATTGGGAGCTTAAGTCTTCCGTTATTCAATTGGTGGAGATAGCCCAGTTTGGAGGAGGAGAGAATGAAGATCCTCACATATTCATAGACAGATTCCTTATGATATGTGACTCAACCAAACATCCTCAGGTGTCCAATGATGCAATCCGGTTGAGGTTGTTCCCTTTTGCTGTTAAGAGAAAGACTCTTAGTTGGTTGGAAAGACAGCCTGCACGTTGCATTCCTACATGGGATGATTTGTCCCAAAAGTTCTTTGCTGAGTTCTTCTCCATGGAGAGGTATAATCAGATGGTGAATGATATTACCAATTTCATTTAGTTAGAGGGTGAAACTATGTGTGCAGATTGGAACAAATTCAAGGATTTAATGAGGAGGTGTCCTGATTATAACTTGACTGCTGGCAATCAAGTGAGAATCTTCTTCAACGGTTGTAAACCTGATATTCGGATAGTGTTGAATGGTGCAGCAGGTGGTGCTATTAAATCCTTGAGAGCAAATGAGACTCTTGAGCTCATTGAGAGAATGGCCGCCAATGAAAATGAAGGTTTATCATCTAAGCCAAAGAGAGGTATTCTTCAACTGGAAGACAATGATATTGTGCTGGCTGAAAATAGGTTATTATCTCAGCAAATGGCAAATTTGACTTCAAGGCTTGATAAGATGCAGATCTCTGGTCTTCAGGCTCAAGGTGTTGCTGTTGTATGTGAATATTT